ATGGAATTATCAATATCCTATATAAAATCTCTCTATAAATTCCGCTTTATTACAATTAGTGCCCATTTGAATTCACTCTGGCTGCTGAAATATCAATCTACAAGACTCATCAAATGTGGTGTCGATCAATAATTTGGAATTTAGAAATCTACAGTTCAAATTCTAAATGTGTATCAGTGTCAGTGCAAGATTATTGGCCCTCTTCAAATTTAAAAATTCAAATTTAAAAAACCAACAAACTGAAAGCAGGATAATATGTAAAAAGATTATAAACCTCAGAAAACCCTACTAGAAATGATTACTCAAGCGAGTAGCAATCGGTTATTAAACACAAACATATTCAGTGACCTTTTTACATGTATTATTCAAAAATCTTACAAAGGAATAAACTATGTAAGAAATGAAAAATGTACCTTTTTTTCATCATATTTAAAAAAAAAAAAGAAAGATTTACATGTACTTTTACGACGCTCTGTCGCTTAAAAACTGGATTTTGAAATATCATTTAATATTACAATTAGAAGTGATATGATTGCCAATGAGACAAATATTAACCAGGGATCAAATGACGAATATAAAAGCTATTATCGGTGACCCTACTACCTTTCAAAAATAGAAAAAAAACTCATAGCGTAAAGTCAGCTATAAAAAGCCACTTTATGAAAAATATGAAAACATTCAAACAATAAAACTAACGATTTAACCTATACAGTACAATTTACGAAAAACAAAAATGACAAACAAAAAACCAACGACAGCCACTGAATTAGAGACTGCTGACTTGATATTGAATGTGGCGTGGTTGAAAAAAAGTAAATTGTTTGCGGCAACTGTTTGATTTGTCTTTCCTGAATTTTGTTAGTTCATCAAATCTGATACATTCTCTTATTCAAATACTAGTAATCATACTAAAATTCAAAGCAAATTAGGTGAACAAATCGGCACTATGTTCTTTAAAATTGTGAATTTACCTGACAAGATGTTTTATTAAAAATGTAAGGGATTATACCTTTAACCTATAACATGTATAATTTTGCCAGAGTTAAAATTCTTATCTGCACTTTTTCTGAACAAATTAGGATAATCGTATTAGTTTGGACAAACTTGAAAGATATTGTTCCGAAAACATATAGAAAGTGTTTTTTGCCCTTCAATAAAAATTCCGGGCATGCACATTTATAGTTTAATATGTTCGTTGGTAAATCGTTGATTAAAATGTGCCTTGTGTTTTGACGGTATATTCTTGTTCGTTTGATTACTATATTCTTGAATTAAACTATACTGGTGTACATATTTGCGGTCATATACTCAGAACAGATTCATTTCTTTGTCACATTAACCAAGCTGATTTTAGAATGTACTGTAAGTATTAACATTTTGTATTGCAGCATAAATATGAAAAACATGACAGTGGACAGTAGTTTGTGACCTTAGATGGATTTGGTTACTATTTGTTATTTCCCTTTAAGTCTTTTTATGTGTTGGGTACTTATATATCTTTGATTTCCCAATAAGTCTCTTGTCTTACCTGATTGGTAAGAAAGGCGCTAAATCGCATATCAAATGTAAAGTGATATTAACATGTTTTACCGAAAAATCAAAGATTTATTTTTCCTGGGTAAACAAGTGAATCAGAAGGATGTCTTGGTTGTAAACAATGGAATGTATTATTGTTCTTCTTAGATATCTTTTGTAAGATGAATATTGACCTTGCACCGCCTCATGTCGCATGACTATTTTTATGCTATTATTCTAATTTTGTGTACCATTTTTTAATTTTTTTCCAAAATTTTTATTTGATTGGGTATTGTCTATATGTCATTATTATACTATCAATAACAAAACCATTCGTGTTTATTCGATTCAATTTATGCTTGATTCAATATAACGAAACTGTCTTACAAACAGGAGGCTAAGCTATATCATGTACATGTAGCTACGAAAACCGGTTTTATACACCATTTTCTTCGGGAAATGCCCGTACCAAGTCGGCACAATGATAATTGTTATCTAGTTGTTCATTTGGTGGACGTAGTCAAGCGTTTGCTTTTGTCAGGTTGAAACTGGCTTTTAAAGATTTTTTTGTAATATTTTTGTTTTACAACAAGACAAACTTTTATTGATACCGAGACTTTCTAATGTTTCCTACTTTTTAATGATAGTACAAATTAATGTTTTGGGATCTTCTTTATCGCTAAATTCCATTTTCCCATACCGCAAGCCGTCGAGTGAATCCGAAATATTTCGATCACTAACTTCATGCCGTTGCAACTTCGATAATAAGAAAATTTATCGCTGAATGTTGGAAACAATCCGAGTCTTTCTAACTTTATCAAGGTTAATGACCACACTTAATTATATAAAATGTGTCCTGCAAATTGATAATGTATCGCCACATTATACTACCGGTAACACAGTTCAATGTACAAAAAGGATTATTGGGTATGATTTCAAATGAGAAAATTATCCATCGATGACCACCCAGCGCATATATATTTGACTTTTTTTTGTTTCTTTTGATTTTTGAAAACAGATTTATTACATTTGAGTTGTAATATTTTCGGTAGAACTCTAAAATTGCCACGATTGTGATGTCTGAATTACGTTAATTTGAGATTACAAAAATGTGATAAACCTTATTAAACATAAAACACATAGACAAAACAATGTCATGCGCACACAAATTCTTAATATTGACATGTGCTTAAAATCAATCAAACATTAAGATACGGGATTAAATAATAAGAGGGTTCAGAACACCTAAAAAAAGATAACTTTTACTCATAGTCTGTTTTATTGCGGCGTTTTAAAATCACATTTAATATGCAAGAACTTAAAAGATCCTGATCAGAATGTTTACTTTGTTGCTATGAGCAGATGTACACCTATTGTTATTCATTTAATCTTTTAATTCGTTTATAGTAACACATTTTCCATAAATGAATTTTCAAAGAGACAAAATAGGAAAATTTCAAAGTAAAATAGATTTAAAAAAAGAAAACCAGGAGGTAAGATTTTTTCAAATGGGCAAATCTGAGACTACTATAATAGTAGTCTCAGGGCAAATGAACCGAAACAGAAGGACCAAGAGGTAATTGGCATCTTTAATGACCACTACAACCGTTGAATTATATTCATAACAACATTGGCATAGCAGCAAAGACTGAGGTTATTTATCACATTGATGGGAAACCACAGTTCTAATGTGTGAGGAGAAGAACAGTTGAACTAGATCTGCTTGCATTAGGCGTGTACTGTTGTGTTTGCAAGTCCCCTCTTCACCTATCCAATACAGTAGGGGGAAAGTTATTTTGGCTTAGCGGCGTTTAAACGATCTCCCTTACTCATAGAAAGGAAAGATGAGTTCACGAAAGAGAAATGACTTCGCACGGTCTATAACGAATCCAAAATGTATGCCTGTGCTGTTTTAAAACTTCTACAAAATTATCAGAATGACTCCAATCAGAAATTTGAGTTACCTATTGGTATAGTTAGTCTGACTCTATTACCACATGTTTGTTTTAAATACGCAGAGAGGATACACAATATGACTTGTGTTTATGAATATTAACAGAAAGTGAAAACGCCTAACAATGAAATTATAAGCAAATAAACAAATAAACCAAGGAAATAATATTCTGCTTCTATCCATACCAAATTGAATAAAATCAAACCAGAATTGACGCCACAATATTTTTTTTGAAAACCGTAGTTTTGAATGAAATACACTAGCGTAAAATTGTAGATTAAGAGATATTTATGTATGACACGTGTAACTGCACCGATGGATTCGTCGTCATTTTGTAATCGTATATCAATTTTTGTTTCGAATCTGCGGACTTACAAAATAGAAAATCTCGATAATGTAAAAATATCTGCCGATTCTTGTGATTTTCCCTCCTTTGTATTTTTTTCTCATGCTGTCAATTTCAAGAGCTTGTATCTCAAAAACGAAAACGGTTACTCTCTTTTTTATTTTATAATCTGGTGTACTTTTATAAGTGGAATCCGTAGGTGAAACTAGACAAAAATAATGTGGAGTAGTTAAATACACTTTAAAAGAAACTAGGTCTTTGTTGAAATATTGATGTAACTACATGTATTTTTTGTCTTGATGACAGATACTTTAATGTATGTCGTGTGCATGGAATTTGTTGATATGTCATAATGTGTGTCTATATTGTTGTATGGTCGATTTGAATAGCTCATTAGAGCTTGTGTAATATGTATTTGTTTACTAAATATTGACTCTAAACCAAACTTTGAATTCGATTGAATTGAATTAACAAGCCAAATATCTCAGGCCTAGGTCAAAAGACAGCAAGTCATGGCTTGCTCAAGTGTTTCTTGCCAAAAATACAGTTATAGTCCTCGAGGTCAGAGTTCAAGGTCACATGAAGGTCATAATTGTACGGGGATAAACCATCTCATGATGATACATCTACATGCAAGAACGGATCTTGCTCTTATTAACTGAGAAAATTTGAGGGTGGGGACATATTTTAAACTTTAATAGAAAACAATCTGTTGGTTAAATTTCTATAAATATTTGCAAGAATAACAGACTGATATAGCACTACAAATGGTTAGAAAATATTGAAAAAATTAAACGCCACATATTAAAAAAAAAAATTCTTCTTCAAATACTAGAACCATCATATTCACTTTTGGGGGCTGAATCTGAAACCTTCTATTTTGGTTCGGACAAAAAATTCAATCCAGAATAAAAAAAAAACTTACGAGTAAAAAGTATAGATGAACTTAACTTGGTCTCAGTTATCACTATAATCTTTGCTATTGTCAATTTAGGATTATTTTTTTTTTAAATATTAACATATATACCCCTATACCCATATAACGACAGTTTTTTTTAAGGGGTATAGTGTTGGGTACCCCCTTAAATGATATGTTGAAAGGCATTATATGAACAAGATTTATACTATTCTACACATAAACTTTCTAGGATGCATAGTTTTTTTCTTCTCACTTGTATATAGTAATTATATACAAAGTATACTTTATTAAATATTAACATCAATAAATGGTATCATTATGTTCATTTAAAAGTGATTATTTCATTGAAACTCTCAAAATCGTTAGTTACAGGAACTTAACTTTAGCTATTTAATTCATTTTTCAGGATATCAGGATTGAAATTGTTATGATCTTATTCAAATAATTCTAATGAAATGTTATATTACTCGAAACCTCCTTCGCCCATGAATTGATGGCCGGAGCCATATTTAGCACAACATTTTTTGGATTTTAAGAATTAAATTGCTCCTCAGTTTCGTATGTGATTTCGCCATTATGTTGTTTTGATTGAGCATCACCAATGACTCTCATGTAGACGAAACGTCCTTCTTTCGTATCAATTCATAAGCCTTTGCTGTCTTCTGGTGTATCAATACTGTTTTAGATGAGTTTTTCCTATACAAATACAATAAATATTATGAAGCAAGTAACTTATTTTAATAACTTTTTAATTTTCGCATTTATTTGGAAGGGGGTGCAGTAAATTGGAAAAACATTTTCAAAAAAGACTGTAGGAATATATATTATCTTTTATTGCTGATGATTTCTTTTCTAATAATAGTAAAATTATCTGAAAGAATACCTATTTGCCAGTTTGGAAGTAATCTTTTGAAAGATTTATTTCGTAGTATTGTCGGTAGGGACTTGATAGATAGACAATGACAGATATAATTAAAGTTTAACTTTCCTCTTCACTGCTATAGGAAAAATAGAAGCATAACATGTGAAAGGGACATTTAAACTCATTAGTTGAAAAAAAAATTAAAAACGCCATTGCTAAAAATAGATAAAGATCAGCAGACAACCAATAGTACACACAACACAATATAGAAAGCTAAAGACTGACTAACACGAACCAACCAAAAACTTGGGGTGATCTCAGGTGCTCCGAAAGTAAAGAAAATCCTACTCAACATGTAGCACCAGTCGTATTGCTCATGTTAGTACAAATCCGGTGATAAATCTAAGTTGGTACGTCACATTCGTGGAAAAGGGTACGGCATTTTAATTGCAAAAATTGGAACATATACATTGTCATTTGTGAAACGGATATTCCGTTAAAATATGCAAACTCGTGATGGCGGCTGTAAAATTTATGAAGTGACGATTTCAACTTCATAACTTGGAACTTTTGGTTTCAAAGCTATCTCGTGAACAGCAACTTTCTATCAACGAAATCATGATAGAAAATACAAGCCATGGAATATCGTATCAATTCGGATATATGTACTTAGTATGCAGGTGCTGCTGGAATGTTGCTTCATAGAAATGGTAAATTTACAATTGGAAAGCTGAACTAATCTCTTTTGTCGTAAAGTGTTCTTTTCAACCGACCCTCATTGCCAATTGTTAGATGTAAGTCAAGATATAAGGCAAACTTGACTGTATCTATTGTATCCTTAATCTCATGTTCGATGGAATAGATGAATTATTTAATGGGAGAAGATAGGTAAAGTTGCTATCGCTTTTACTTGAAAACTACCATAAAGGAAAGTTAAACAAAAAGATCACTTTTAGAAGTTGTTTGAATTATCATCAATAGTATTCATTATATCAAGATTTTAGTGGACAAAAAAGTTGCACCAGCATTAAGAAGAGAAAGAAACAAGTGTAACTGAAATTTTGTCAGAATGAATGCTCAACTTAATACTAGATAATTACAACAAAGGTACATTACTTCAACTGCACAGTATCATTGAGACGACGAAAACAATAGATAGACGGGCAAGGATATATCATAGTTGTATATGACAAATTCAAATAAAAATATGCAAAGCAAGGTATAAACTTGCTGTTCTTTTTAGCTTGTCAGCAAATAAAGAAGTTGTTATGCAAATTTTATAATATCAATAGATAGTTTTACACAATTAAAAAAAAGCATTATGTAATATCAATAGGAATGTTTATCTTATATCAATAGGTTTTTGAATTTATCAAAATATTAGTATATAAAATGAATGGCGAGGTCGTTGGTGGCTTCGACTTGTTCTCATATCCGTCTTCATCTGTTCTGCATCGATATACGTCGTCTGTTGGTGTGGTGTACACTTAATTAGGTAGAAGGGGTACAGTTAACGTTGCAATTGATTTTCGTTGATATAAGAATAACCGGACAACGAAGCAATATGATTGACTGAATTAAATGGAGACTGCATATTTACTATATATGAATCACAGACGTTAAGTACCTGAGGTTGTTGTAGAACCCTGATGGACTTTTAAAATGTTGCATCATATTTTACAATATAGGTTGTTTTTGAAGAAATATTTGTTCGAACCGCTGCTTCTGGTACTGCAGTTTGTTTTACAGCTGCGTCGAAAGACTAGGAGTAATCTGAACGAACCAACACAAAATCAATTGATTTTCGTTGATATAAGAATAACCGGACAACGAAGCAATATGATTGACTGAATTAAATGGAGACTGCATATTTACTATATATGAATCACAGACGTTAAGTACCTGAGGTTGTTGTAGAACCCTGATGGACTTTTAAAATGTTGCATCATATTTTACAATATAGGTTGTTTTTGAAGAAATATTTGTTCGAACCGCTGCTTCTGGTACTGCAGTTTGCTATACAGCTGCGTCGAAAGACTAGGAGTAATCTGAACGAACAAACACAAAATCAATTGATTTTCGTTGATATAAGAATAACCGGACAACGAAGCAATATGATTGACTGAATTAAATGGAGACTGCATATTTACTATATATGAATCACAGAAGTTAAGTACCTGAGGTTGTTGTAGAACCCTGATGGACTTTTAAAATTTTGCATTATATTTTACAATATAGGTTGTTTTTGAAGAAATATTTGTTCGAACCGCTGCTTCTGGTACTGCAGTTTGCTATACAGCTGCGTCGAAAGACTAGGAGTAATATGAACGAACCGACACAAATTTTCAGAACAACGAATGTTGTATTTAGCATCTGAGACTGAATTAATGTTTCTTTTATTTTAGTTCTCTGCCTTCCTTTCTATTATTGAAAGTTCGCTTTTGTCAATATAAGTAACGAGGTGATTTTTACCATTATATATACACTAAAGACACATAAGATGTAGCATCAATACATACATTTTGAAAGATTTAATGCATCTATTTTAGGTCCTTGTTTCCTTTTATAAACAACGCGTCGTTATTTTTTTACTTCACTCTGGAATTCGTATTTTAGAAAGGGACTCCACTTTTTTTTTGTAGGCTACTAATTTGAGACCTATGTTTTCTTTTCTGTGAAACTTTGAGTGTTTGTCTTTGTATCCACAAATGAAAAATTTTGAGCATCACTCATTTTTCTACACACCATGACGTTTGTGGTTAGCAGCTTATGCCCTCTTATGTAACAGTTTGTGCATCTTAAAATAAAAATGAACCTTTAGAGAAACAACTGAAAAAAGATAAACAAATATAGTAAACTTATACTAGGCAACACGAACCCAAACAAAATGCTGAGTGAACTATGACCTGGAAGAGTAAGCAATTCCTTATTTACATATGACAAGTTTTGAAAGAGTGTGTTGTTCCTTGTTCAGCACCACTGATCAGTCTTTATAAGCGAAACGCCCAATTGCAGTACTTTATATTAAAACCGTGTACTTTGATGACATTCTTTCTGTGATTAGATGCTCATTTTTCATAAATTTGTCGTCATTTGCATGTTAGTTCTTTATTTGATATCACATTCATATGTATATCATGCTGTTCGAAATGACATTTGTATGGATCACGTTACCTACTAAAAAGGGATATAGTTACAAGCAGGTCAATGGTTTCTTTATTTTCAATTATTTGTTTACTTTTGATTTACATCGCGTCAATATTTTCTGTTGTTTCATTGTGTTTTTCTTGTGTGTTTTGTGTATTCTATTTTGTTTGGGTGCGGGTGAAGATCTATTACAAAATAGCACAATAACGAAACAGAACGATCGTATGCTACTACATTACCAGATATGGCTGATTAATAACAGGATATATAGTGAATACTGTTATCCATGTTATACCCAGCCCCAGTTACACAAATAGCATTATATAAACATTATGAAATAAGCAACTGATTATACAATAATGACTTGCCAATTTATTGACGAGTTTTCATTACTAATCCAACAAAATATCTTGTATTCGAAGAGTTACTAAATAGTTTTTTAAAGAATAATTTTGAGAACAAATCATAAAAATTACACTGCATACTCGTTGCAAACGATTCCGTAATGTTATCGTATTTCCCATTGAAATGCCTTATATATGACTGCACGTGCTATTTTGATAGCTTTAAAAAATTGTATAAAAACACAGAACAGGTTTTCTTTAGCTCGTAATTTCATTGTTCTGTTATACAAATGCAACTATAACAGTTTCATGCGTGTGTTTGTTTTTTATGGGGTTCTTAAAGCGTTAAACGTGCGCTTATTTTCTACTTGCAAATTTGCTTCGATCAACCCCTTTACATCCCAATAAAATTACAAAAAAAGAAGCATCCAATTTTTAAATATTAGAAATCATGTACCATAGAAGATAGCTCAGAATACAATCAAAACCGTAATAAGTGAGGTCGATACTTGTGAAGGTTATTGTTAATTGGATGTAAAAGTGAAATAACAAAAAACGAACGGAAACAACTGTAGTGCATTTAGTTTCCAAAACTGAACATCAATGACATTTTGACCATCAATGTAATTATCCCTTTTGAAATTTCATTCATAACTTAAAATCTGAATATACTGAATAAAATTTTTAGAAACATGGTTTTCAAACTAAACGACTTGATTTGGATGCTTTTGTAATTATTTGAAAATTTTGTATGGAATTTTTAAACGTTTGGACGCAACTCCTGAAATTAAGGGATTTCATGTAATATAAAACCAAACAAAACATTCGATGGATTTTACTTACATTTATTATGCAAAGTGACGTTATACTCATATTGTCTGACATTTTGACATAAACGACTAGCTTACCATTCCGACTTCATCTTGTTGTCGTGTCAACCACTGTAAAATAGATATTTATTTAAGGCAAACCGAAAGACAAATATTCCTGGTAGTCTACAGGTATATAAGGTTTTGTATAAGAAAGAATCCGGATATATCAAAGGGACAACCATAACTCATTGTTCAAAGAAAATCTGACCGTAGTAATAAACGACAGACGAAAAATAAGTCAACATAATATAAATAGAAAAACTACAGAGTGAACATCGCGAACCCATCCCAAACCGAATGGTGATCTCAGTTGACCTGATTACATTGTAATGAAATTGAATTAGTGCAGTTGATGAAAGGCTTTAGAATTGTGATATTTTAACGGAAAGCAATACTAGTAGCGAATCCACACTATCTTAGTCTTGCAACTGAAGATTCAGAAAAATGGCATCAATTTGAGATAATGAGGTTATCGGTCACTAGACTTAATGCCGTGACGATCCCACTTATTTGCGTTTCTGAACTCATATGGTAATTTTGTTCACTTGATTTCATTATTGTACCAAACGTGATATCTGTTGACAAGCAAACATTAGATACTGCAAAAAAGGTAATTTGATTTTCAGTTGATAAGCATTTTATTTTGATCAAAATAGATTTCCGTTGCTAACTAATAATGCTTCTTGTCTGACACGATTTAGAACACACTTCTCTGAAATTCCCTGCAGACAAAATTCAAATCATTTACATATCTTACATTAATCTTAACCGAAAGTCTTTTATCCTTTGTGTTGTTACTTAAAAAAAAGAACATTACTATAGAAATAGAGGAAACGAAACAACAAATGAACTACTGTTATGTGTCGAATCACGACAAATCACACCTAACGTCACAGTCTGAATTATGCATTTAATGTTGTCACGCTGCAGTAAACTCAGCGTTCCTTTACTTGAAGAATGAAAATTGATAATTCTTGAAATGTTTCATTATTTCTGCTTTGAACATGCTTAGCATAATGCAGAATATTCCTAAATATACCGGTAAGTCAATTTTTTTATGTTCATCACCATAGTATAGTATGAAAATATTCGAATAAGCATGCATTGCTTTTAAAACACCACTTTCATTGCAATATTTGCGATTGTTTTAGAAATATTTTCGTAGTTGTAAAATCTTTTTCTTACTTGCTTATAGTCGAATGATAATCTGTTTAAAACCAAATGTATCCTGTCACTATGAGTTCAGTGATCATGTGATCATATGATCAGCCCTGTATTAAAAGACTTTATTTACTAGTATTCAGGTTTGAGCAACAAGTCTGTAGTTTATCGAAAACTTCATTTCGACTACATTATTATTTCCAACATTTTAACGGACTTTGTTTAATTTACTTTCGCTTATCGTGATTTTGCAAGATCATGTAATTTATTTGTAATCCTGATCAAACATATGAGATTGTGATGGTCCACGATAAATAAACAGTAGTATACCGTGTTCGAAACTCATAAATCGATAGAGATAAAAACAAATCCGGGTTACAAACTAAAACTGAGGGAAACGCATCAAATATAAGGGGAGAACAACGACACAACAAAAACATTAAAATGTAACACACACAGAAACGAACTATAATATAACAATGGCCATTTTCCTGACTTAGTACAGGACATTTTAAGAAAACAATGGTGGGTTGAACCTTGTTTTGTGGCATGCCAAACCTCCCGCTTTTATGGCATCGTCAAACACAACACCAAAACGACAACATCACATGACAGGACCACAATACACAATAACCTAGTATTCGTCACATATTCGTTCTATGGTCAAAGTATAGATGTGTCATAGCCATTTATATTACAGATTTCTTAATTCTTATTTGGTATTTCCACAAAATTATACTCGTATTGTTTCTAATGTCAAGGTGTTTTCTGATTTGTGTTCTGTTTTCTAAAGGCCAACAGATTTAACGTTTACAAACAATGCTACACTAGTTATAATATGGGTGATAGAATATTTGGGATCAATGCCAAATGAGACAGCAAAATAACAACCCAAATTTATGTAGATGTGAAATTATTTTCTGAAGCAGTAGACAGGTGTTATATATGCCAAGCTTTAAAAACATCCGATTCAAATAAACATCTAAAAAACCGCTATCGGAGATTGGACATTAACAATATCCAAATGGGATAGTCACATTAATATATAACATGGTTATTCCTTTTTTCTCGAACTTCAACTGTGTTTATTTCGACTAGTTGACTAATGAACGATTAACAAACAAAAAATCTTAGTCATGTTTAGTTTACTTTATGACAACGCTATATTACAAAATAAAGTAGGAAACTACAAAACGATCGTTATTGAAAACCAATTATACGTATTTACCCTTGGTATATGTAATACTTCCGTACTAACAACTCATGTACACAGTCCAGATTTTAAGTGGCAATATCAACAGTGGTAAAGACACAATTTTCAGTCATTATCCTGAAAATATTTGCAGAGAACGTCAATGCAGATAACAACACATTTGGGTATGCTTTACTGTGAATTGGGAAACTCTTGATCATCAAACGAATACCAGACTCAATCGTTGTATAGTTCATAATCTCAAAACTTTTATACATGGTAATAAACAATAGAAATAATAAATGATTTGTAGGTCAATAACACGTACGGGAACATATAGCTGTTAATATCTGTGTCATTTTAGTCTAGTTTTAATTTTTTTATAGCTTTGACAATTCATTTACCGTTCAAATCTGTATGTTTTTAAACTACTGTAATTTTCTATTAACACAAACAATTAAATTGTAACACGATAGTGTTGGTAGCTGCATTTTGTTTAAAAGTTTACGGTGTATGCAGCACTTGTATATGTTTATGACTATTTCGAATGACTTGAATTCAATCTCGATGACTGTGTATTCTTTTACAAATTGACGCCTTATTTGTCTAAGTATATAGATGCGTGTACATGTGTTTATTAATGGATGCATCTTCGTGTGTCAACTTCCAACTGCGTCATTACACTACATCATAAAGTTATATTAAACAGTTCAATATTTTTTTATCAGATATTATTTTTGTTCTCAATGGTTTAAAGTACTATCATTATTGATAAAGGTATGTACCATATATAGTATATCACTGTTTGCTTACGCAGGTAGGAGGCGGTTAATGTAATTTAATAGTATTTCAAAATCATTACTCACAATACAATCATAGGTCTCAATTCGTCCATCTTGATTCTGTTGCGTCCTACCAAACCAACTCATTCATACATCAATGAGATACGTTAATATGTAAAAAATACAATTATTTATCTCACTAAATAATTATGTTGATGTGAATTTTTTTATTTGTTTTATATAGGGCTCTCTTTAGTTCTTACTTTGAAAAAAAAAATACTTCTGAAACGATAAATAAAAAAAAAACCTTTCAGAAAATACTCAAAAAGACTAATGGTTTGCATTTGATTTGAATTTGATTTTAAAACATTTAAACGCATTTTAAACTCTTTATTTCCCGTTTTAATGAATCCTAATCGTTATCAAAAATACAAGAACAATACATTTTTTTAACTATATAATAGATTTTCTAATGTTATGAAGTCAAACTCGTAAACAAAATTACTTAAAATAAACGTAATGAAATGCAGACATATACTTTTTAAAAAGGTACAGTACTAGTAGTTTTCATTGGCGTTTTATGTTAACAAAAATTGAAGCCGTCTTTATATCAATAGCTAGAGAATGTTAAATGCAGATATACAGTTAATGATTTTAAATAAATATAGTAGTTGTCATTGGCGGCATATGTTAAAAGAATATGAAAACACAATTTATCAATTAATGTATAGGAGTTGTCGATAATACAAAAGCATATACAATTATATGATTGAAAAACTGTTGATAATATTGCATACAATAACTAAGCAACAAACAATTCACAACAAAAAAGTTAAAATGAATACAGGTAAGCCAAAGCTATAGATACAACACTTATCAACATGTCTCAAAATATGAATAGAAAAACTACATAATTTTATATCAGACTAATTTAATTATTTTACAGTCTAATAAAATCAAATTACATATGAAACCTTAACTTGCGATTGGAACATTTTTTCAATTAGCTTTGTCGTGCATTTTGTTTGTACTTGTCGTTTATTCCATACAATTAATAATGGATACAACTAAGGGACGAGTGTTGCATCTTTGAGTAACAAATACTTTACGTCAGTAAGTTTTCCTTTTCTATGATAATGTATCAACCTCCTTTTGCTTATTTTCAAGTTAAGTTTAGTACATTATCAAAGAAATCATAACGAAAACAAGTTCTTCTCTAGTCATTTCAAGAATTTTATTTTAAGGTTGTGAACATACCTGTTGAATTAAACACATATAGGCTATGAATGGTGCTGGTATCGGTATAAAGGACAGTCGGTGTGGGTCCTTGTGATCTATCCATCATAACTAACCTAGTGGCATCCTCAACATAGTATATATAACTACCCAAAACACCTATAGCACAGTTGTATTTTAAATAATACATTGAATAGATTGTTTTAACATCAGAACCATCCACATTAACTGATTTTATTTCATTAGAGAAGTCAATCCAATACAGTCTTTGTTCAGTCAGGTCTACAATATATTGAAACAATTGCTAAAAAACGTATAATGTATTCATCAATTAACAATAGATGGATGTGTCGTGTTCAGTTCGATAATATATTAATTGATTCCCTCTTGTTGCACTCTGCACGCATTTGTATTCATTTGATTATTTATATATTCATCTATTTATCTTTTTTATGTATCTATGTATTTGTTTATTCAATTATGTATTTATTTATTTATTTATTTATTTATTAATCTATTATTTTTTTATCTATATTATTTTATAAGTTTATAAATTTTTTAATTCATCGATTTATTCATTATTCATTGATTTGTTTATAAAAAAAATGAGAAAAAAAAACACGTTATATATATATAATGTTTCCGAAGCGCTTTTCTGGATTTTCCTTCACCAGCCACGCTAATAGCCGAATATTTGAAAGACAAGGACAAATAAAACCGAAACAGTTGAGAGCTATATAATTAAAAATGACCTAAAATTATAATCAAATCCTTCGAAGGCCAATTTGCCTGAAGGAGTTGAAACCTTGGTTTCTTTATAATTTCAAAATTGATAAACGGGCAAATTTAGAAAGGTATGTTATTAATCATGTAAAACGTTATTTTAAACATCAATCCATATACATGTATCAATTAAACGTAAATTTAAGCAGAGAGCAGCAAGTATAAACATCACAGTGAATTATCATATTTGACGACAAGTTAAATATGCGTAATCCTAAAACTGAGCGAACAGAAAATAATCCATAATCCATGCACGTTTTGTATTGAAATAAATCTTGAAAATCAAAAGTTATTGGTGAGCTACCCAAAATACGATTTAGGCAAAACTCGATAGTTGTAGGTTGACTTTTTGCATGGTGTTGATTAAAACACACGTGTAAAACTTATTAAGAACATACTTTAAAACAATATATAAACACAGGTGTTGTTTATGAGTCGATGATGAGCAGAAAATGTTAACTAATCGTATTATATCGTACAACAAATTTCTGAAAATTACTTACTAGGTTATCACTTCAACCACATACCGAAATACATTTTTCATACACTTATACAGAATTTTACAATTTCAATACGTAATATAACAACATGGCTTGCTAAAACCTCTATACAGTTTATATATGTAAGTCGTCCTATCAAAGGTAAGAAATCATTTCATTTTCTCCTTCTTCAACTTTACTTTTTGAATTCAACTTAACCCTCTAATTGTCCGTGTGTGTTTTTTTTTTTTTTTATTTAGCATTATTAAGAAACAAATAAAAAAAACACATTGTTCAGAGAACAATTGAAGGTCTTTCCACCGCCAAATGCATATATTTGTAAGAAAATATCCACTTTCGGCTTAAAATGACAACTCTGGTGTCAGCTTATAGAATAATGACCGCTGATACAAAAAACATGATTTTTATATAGTAGGTATTTCTTGTTTACAAAAGTTCACATCCGGTTTAAGGTGAACCTGACATGACACTGATTACAAACCAATAAAAGTTCAACTACTTTGTACATGAAAAAAATGCAAACATGGCTTCTTCATGGTCATATAAGTGCAACCGTATATTAAAGACCCAATGACTGCATCATATACCAATAAGAAGTTAGAGCAAAGATAAAAATCTAGAACGTTAAATTAAACTTTGACCTTGACTTCACATTCAATGTTATCAAGCTAGGACCTCAAATAGATTCTGGGTATAATGAGTTAAATTTTGATTTAAAAAAAAATGTTCAGAGAAAATTTGAAGGTCATTTGCACCCCAAATTAAACATGAATTGATAGGAAATTTTTCACTTTTGGTTTGAAATGTCAATTTTGATGTCAAGTAATAGAATAATTTATGCTGATTCCAAAAATATATGATTTCTATTAACTTTTGCTTAGATTATTGTTCATATACAGGTACTTTCGGTATACAGAATTTCACTTCCGATATCATTAGAACCTGACTGCACACTGATTCCTAACTGCAAACTGCAAACTGATTTTAACATAAAGAATAATTCAAAACTTGTTTCTTCCGGTTAACAAAAGGTCATACCCGGTTAAAATGGTTGAAGGTCACATGTCTGTAACCCAATGTTAAAGATACCATGACTTTATCATGTAACAATAAGAAGTTAGAGCAAAGGTCAAAATCTAGAAATTCCAACTAAATTTTGATCTTGACTTTTATTTCAAGGTCATTAACTAAGGACCCTATGTCTTTATTATATATGTTGAAGAGTTATTTCACCATACACACACTTTTTGATATAAAAGGGGAGAAAACTCCTGTCAAATGTCAACATACCCTGTCAACCGAATTGTATAAGTAACGACATGTCGCAACTAACCATTTAGTAAAACCGTGCTGTCGATATTTTATATGGTTTTTGAAAAGAAGTGATAATAAGCCAATATCAAAATTTAGTACATGACCCTGCCCTCGTTTTCTTTTCTTGAGGCCATAGATCTGATATCAAAAGACCCTATCACTTATGGTTTACCAATTACACATGCATATCACGTATATCAAATACTTAAAATGAAATAACTCTCATATGGAGTCTACGGATGACTTCTTCCCAAATGATCATCCTAATTTTGAAGAAATACAGATCAATTTGGTAAAATAACTTTGTTGGTTTCTTTTACGGTTGTAAAGGAGTAGTAGACACAAGAAGAACGGTGTTTGGAGAGATTACTCTTACATGTCTCGTGTAATGTCAACTTAACCTTTGAACGAACATTTATGTGTTACGACATGTTACAACTAATATTTTAGAGAAACAAATATTTTGATGATATCTTATAAGGTGTATAAAAAGAAGTTATGAAAGGCCAACATCGAAATTTAATACATGACCTTGACATAATTTTCTTGTTGGTAGACATTAGACCTCAAACCAAAAGACCATAGGTCATTATCACTTTTCAGTTACAAATGCATATCACTTATATCAAATGCATCAGGAGAAACAACTTTAATATGGAGTGTTCGGTCAAAATTATCCTATATATTCTGAAAGATATTTTGTTAAACATATTTGTCGGTTTCTTTTTACGGTTGCGAAGGAGAAGGGGACACAAGAAAAACAGTTTTTGGAGAGATAACGCTTACAGAAAAAAAAAGTGTTTGTTTATATAGGGTCGGTTTCAAAAGCGTATAAACTGTTCGATATAATATACCAAAAACTTAGCCACATTTTGTTAAACAATTATACTGCACAAGGACAAAAAATAGGTGGGAGATAAATTTAATTAAAAACTAATTGCTCAGAGAACAATCGAAGATCTTTCCAAGCCAAAAGCGAATGTTTTGATAGAAAAATATTTACCTTCAGTTTACAATCTCAATTCTAGTGTCAGATAACAGAATCAATTACACTGATATAAAAAAAAATGATTTCTATATACTTTTGCTCAAAATAATTTACATGAGTATGTACTTCCGCTTAACAAAATTTCATTTCCGGTTTTATTTGAACCTTATTTCACACTGATTCCAAAAACAGTACAGTTTTATTACTATTTATATGAAATAACAGTGCAAAAATTACTACTTCCAGTTACAAAAATGTCACTTCCGGTTGACTTCCTTCAATGTCATATGTCTGCAACCCAATGTAAAAGACCCTATGTCTTTATCCTATACCATTATGAAGCTAAAACAAAGGTCATAATCTAGACCGTTAGATTAAATTTTGTTCTTAACTTTAGTTACAAGGTCATAAAACAAGGACCTCAAATCAAAAGACCCTAGGTCTTTATAATTCATGGTTAATGAGTTATTACACCATACACGTTATTTTAAAGTTTAAAAGGGAAAAACTCCCATGTAATGTCAGGGTACCCTTTCAACCAAAATTTATGGGTTACGACAGGTTGGAACTTACAATTTAGTAAAAATGTTGTTGTAATATCTTATACAGTTATTGAAAAAATTACTAAAAGCCAAAATCAAAATGACCTTGATCTTTGACCTTGAACTATTTAAAAAAAATTGTGGACCAAGGACCTGAAAAAAAAACTATATATTCTGACGAAATAAGGAGTAATTTAGTAACAAAAATTAATCGGTTTCTTTTAATGGTTGCGATTGAGTAGTTGACACAAGAAAACAGTGTTTGGGTAGATAACTATTGTAAAGAAAATTGCTCGGTTAAGCGGTGTCAATTACCAAGACGTATAAACTGTTAGATATCATATACCAAATATCTAAGCGACGTCTTGTGATACAACAATGTTGCACAATAAAAAAAGTTAACAATCAGAACAAAATCAAAAGGCTTTTCCATGGAAGAATCACAAAACCTTAACATGATCATTATTTTTTTGAGTAGGATAATTGACTAAATGGTGAGTTCTAAAATTAATAATATAGGCCAGGTTCATGATAACTAAGCGTGTTTGTTTCGGTATATTTGTCTTGAATTTTTTTTTGACAATATATTCATAAATGTGAGAAAAGACGTGTGTGAAGTCTTTTTTTTTCTCATTTACACATATCTTGATTAGCATCTAGAAATTGACAATGAGGCACATTTGATAAGATAACTTTAACATGTTTATGACAAAAACATCATTTTATCTGCCTAACTGTGCACTTTCCATTTTTAAGCAGCAACAATCCTGCAGAACCTGCATATTGAGTATCAATTTCAATTTGATGCGATATTCAAAAGTTTTCATTTCATATTATGAATTCCTTGTTATAGGGTTGCTTCTTACAAGGAATCTATTGAATCACGAGTTATAAGTGGTGACGTTCAATCAACAAATGCATAACATATATATATTAATATAAAATAAGACTATGTGGTAAAAGGCATGCCAATGAGACGACTATGTATAAGGTACCAAAGGACGGGAACGTTAACAACCACATATAGATTAAAAATAATTGTCATCACTTGATGTCTATAAAAACTGAGCAAACAGAAAATAATCCATAATCCATACACGTTTTGTTTTGGAATAAATCTTGAAAATTAAAAGTTATAGGTAAGCTATGCAAAAA